CACCCCACAGCCCACTTTCATGATACTCCTCTGTCCCTGATCCTTTCCATCTTGGGAGGGTGGAAGAGGGAGACAGAGTGACAATAACATGGGAATGAGCCCAGGTGGGCTTGGAGTTACCCTATTTTGGAGACCTGGCCAGCCTGTTCTCTCTTTTCAGAGAAGCTGTGGACTGCCCCTGAACTGCTCAGTGAGAACTCCTTGCCAACCACAGGCATGCAGAAGGCAGATGTCTATAGCTTTGGGATCATCCTACAAGAGATAGCACTTCGCAGTGGTCCTTTCTACTTGGAGGGCCTGGACCTCAGCCCCAAAGGTGACAGTTAATCCACTACTCACAGCCTCTTCTTTCTGGGGAAACTCTGTACTTCATCTGAACCTTTTATCACCCTCAGAGATTGTCCAGAAGGTCAGAAATGGTCAGCGGCCATATTTCCGGCCAAGCATTGACCGGACTCAACTGAATGAAGAACTAGTTTTGCTGATGGAGCGATGTTGGGCCCAAGACCCAGCTGAGCGGCCAGACTTTGGACAGATTAAGGGTTTCATTCGCCGCTTTAACAAGTGAGAGGGCATTAAGGGTCAGGGACTCCCCAGGGATAGAAGCCTCATCGGTCTTCAGTGGATGAGGTGGGGCTGGTGTGGCTGAGAGTGGGCTGGGTAGAAAGCCCTGGGAGTCTTGAGAATCTTGCAGCAGGTGCCATATCTTGGCCTCCCCCAGGGAGGGTGGCACCAGCATATTGGACAACCTCCTGCTGCGCATGGAACAGTATGCCAATAACCTGGAAAAGCTGGTGGAAGAACGCACACAGGCCTATCTGGAGGAGAAACGCAAGGCCGAGGCTCTGCTCTACCAAATTCTACCCCAGTGAGACCTTTCCCCCTTCCTAAATTTTCCTTTGGGATTCTCCTCTGTCGGGGTCTGCCTCATCAGACTCCTAAGAACTCATTTTCAACTCTCAGAACCCTGCTTGCCACAGCAAGCCTGCTGTAGGCTACATGCTTCTATTCTTTCTCCACATCAGCTGTGCTGCCTTCTTTCTGTCTTCCCATCCCGTCTTAGGACACTACTCTACCATGCCCGTGCTTCAGCAAGTGTATGTAAAACAATCCCAACTTGAAACATTTAGCTCCCACATGCAAGTATCACCTCACAACCCCCCTTGCACTATGGTATAATGTCTTCCCAGCCACTTTTCTTTTCCTCCACCAAGTGCAGACTTCATGTTTGCTCATTTCTGTTGCAGCCACATCCCCCTTTCCTCCCCCCACCCCCTACCTTACCCTCTTGGAGTTTGGCTCACGCTGTACCCTTACTTCCTAGTTCAGTGGCAGAGCAGTTAAAACGGGGAGAGACTGTACAGGCTGAGGCCTTTGACAGTGTTACCATCTACTTCAGTGACATTGTTGGCTTCACAGCATTGTCAGCAGAGAGCACCCCCATGCAGGTGAGAGCCGTGGGTGAGAGGCAGGGGGTGGGATAGAGACCTGGAGGAGCTTCATTGACAACAGATTAGTTTGTTTCAGAGTTCCCACATCTTATGATAGATCATGGGTTAAGAATTCTTAGAAAGTTGGGCACAAGTCTTAGGGCCTCTGCTTTTCCACCCCTGTTAGGTGGTGACACTTCTTAATGACCTATATACCTGCTTTGATGCCATAATTGACAACTTTGACGTCTATAAGGTAAGAGCTGGGGCAGCCCTCTTATTAAGACCCCTTTGAAACCCAGTCTCCCTGAACCCCACATACCTTACCCACTCCATCATCAGTTTTCCCTCTAGTGTCTCTGGCATCCTAGTGCTGGAGTGCACTTTGCGGACAGCTATGGCTATGGAACCATAAGTGTACACTCCTGTCTAATTTCTTGTGAAACTTTAAGACTTCCTTAAGCAAAACATTCATAAAAATTTAGTACCTATCTCCCTGGAGGTATAAATATAGCCATGTCTATCTTTTCTTTCCAGTCCATTCCAAACATGGAATAATCATACAGGATGTAGAATTTAGTGGGGTGAAGGGCAAGATATGAAAAAACCATATAAAGCTTTTTATTGAAGCCATTGGGTTGGCAGATGGCTGGCTTTACTGTCCTTGGGAGTAAAAAGGACCTAGATTTGAATACTGTTTGTGTGTGTGTGTGTGTGTGGCCTTAAGTAAGTAACAGAATCTCCCTCAGTTGTTTTATCTATAAGATGGTAATAATAAATTTGCTGTGTGTAGGCCAGGCATGGTGGCTTACACCTGTAATCCTGGCATTCTGAGAGGTGGAGACAGGTGGATTGCCTGAGCTCAGGAGTTTGAGAACCAGCCTGGGCAAGAGTAAGATCCTGTCTCTACAAAATAGAAAAAACTAGCAGGGTGTTATGGCAGGCACCTGTAGTCCCAGCTACTTGGGAGGCTGAGGCAGGAGGATTGCCTCAGCCTAAGAGTTTGAGGTTGCTGGGAGCTATGATGCCATGGCACTCTACCTAGGGCAACAGAGTGAGACTCTGTCTCAAAAATAAATAAATAAATAAATTTGCTTTGTGGAAAGTGGCTAAAGTATGGCAGTATTTTTGTTCCTTCCCTTTGGACTTACTATATCATCTTGGCTATTTCTACAAAAAGAACTCCAATAACCCCCTTTACCCAGATTTATCAATTGTTCATATTCTCCCCTATTTGATTTATTTTTAAAAATCAATCTATATGGCTAGGCACCTGTAGCTCAGTGGTTACAACACTGGCCACATACACTGGGGCTGGTGAGTTCAAACCCGGCCCAGGCCTGCTAAATGATAACTACAACAAAAAAATAGCTGGCTGTTATGGAGGGCACCTGTAGTCCCAGCTACTTGGGAGGCTGAGGCAAGAGAATTGCCTAAGCCCAAGAGTTAGAGGTTGCTATGAGCTGTGATGTCACAGCACTCTACCGAGGGCAACATAGTGAGACTCTGTTTCAAAAAATAAAAAAAAATTAAAAAAAAAATCAATCTATATAGACCAGGCACTTTGGGAGGGTGAGGAAGGAGCATCACTGAGGTTGGGAATTCGAGACCAGCCTGAGAAAGAGTGAGATCCCATCTCTACTAAAAATAGAAAAAAATTAGCCAGGCATGGTGGTACACACTTGTAGTCCCAGCTACTCAGATACTTAGTGTGTATTTCCTAAAACCTTCACTGTGTATTTCCTAAAAACAATGATATTCTCTTGTATAGTTTTAGTACCATCACTAAAACCAGAGGCTGTCTTCTCCTCTCTGACAGTTTGGGCTGTGTGGCCCCAGCCATGGGGACTATTTTGCCTCCTCACCAGATTCTGGGCTCTTCAGTTTAGTCTGTTTTCCTGCTTCCCATTTCCTGACAGCAGAGTCTATCTGTCTATGTTCTGTTGCAGACAGGCCATCCATCCATTCAGCAAACATTTACTGAGTATTCACCAGGTGCTGGGGTTAGAGGAGGAGGATTTAAAGATTCCCTTGACATCTCTTCCCCCCAGACTCTCAGTACTATGGCATTTATTTTCTAGTCAATGTTTGGACCTCCCAGACTGTCAGGATGACTCATGGTGGTGTTTAGCTTCTCTTTCTGTACTCTTCCCTGTCCCCACGGATTAAGGTAGAAGTGACCTTTTAATCCCCTCTTAATCAGGTGGAAACAATTGGGGATGCCTACATGGTAGTATCTGGCCTCCCAGGCCGAAATGGTCAACGCCATGCTCCAGAAATTGCTCGTATGGCCCTAGCATTACTGGATGCGGTTTCTTCCTTCCGCATCCGCCACCGACCCCATGACCAGCTGAGGCTACGCATAGGGGTCCATACTGGTAAGGCTGACTTTCACCCAGCTCTAGTCTCCACCTTTCCTGGGCTGTCCCAACCGGCTTCTTCTTATAGGGCCAGTCTGTGCTGGGGTTGTTGGCCTGAAGATGCCCCGCTATTGTCTATTTGGAGACACGGTGAACACTGCTTCTCGAATGGAGTCAAATGGTCAAGGTTAGACATTAACCTTTGACCCTCATTGGCCTCAATTTATCCTGCCCTTTTCTTCTTTTCATGGTTCCTCCAAGTCTCTCAGTCTGAGACCACAATTCCTAAGTGCCCCATCCTTGAATATATTTTGGTTCTATTGGATATACATTGGGAGGTTTGGAAGCCTCTTAGGAGTGGCTGGTTGGGTAATATGCTCTCTACTACCACCAGTTCTTCTATTGCCTTTTCTTTGATTCTTTTTTCAACCCCCTCATACCCCCATAGCCCTGAAGATCCATGTCTCTTCTACCACGAAGGATGCCTTGGATGAGCTAGGATGCTTCCAGCTAGAGCTTCGGGGGGATGTGGAGATGAAGGTAATGGCAGGCCATGGGGAGAGGGTCATGGAAAGGGAGGATGAAAGTGATTATGGGGGGTGATGGGGGGCGAGAGGGAGTCTGAATTATTTCACTCCTCTACTTCCAGGGAAAAGGAAAGATGCGAACTTATTGGCTCCTAGGAGAGCGGAAGGGACCTCCTGGACTCCTGTAAGCCCTACTCCTTCCCAAGTCAGACAATCTCCTGCTGCTGGTACCTGGGTGGGCAGTGGCCACCTTCTCTCCACACATCAGAAATGGACATAGTCACATGAGACGGAAAACATGCATCAAGAAAACCTACCTTATCTGGAAGTTGTAGCCCTCTGCAGCTCAGCCTTGTACATATACCTGCCCTTGTCTGGCTTGGTTCCCTTCCTCCTTAACCTTCTGTAAATATCTGTATCTAAACCAGAATATTTTGGCCACATACAAAACAACAAAAAAATAGCCATTGTGTCACAGATTGGGTTAGGGACAACCCCAAGGAAAGGTTACGGGGTATGGACATGGTGACTCACAGAACCACTGAATTAGCAGTCTCAGGATGAGAGAGAACCCTTTATGTAAAGCCCCTTCTCAAGTACAGAGAATTAACTTCCTCCCAACCTCTCTAGTAAAGACAGAAATAGATTCCATATTCTATATCCCACATCCCTCTTCTCAGCTCTTAGACAGGAGTTGTTCTCCCCGCTCCACCACCCTGCCCTCTTCCCTGACAGGCAAGGGAAGACATTCCTCCCAATTGGTGGAGGTAATTCTCAGATTCATAGGGCAAAGGCTGCCCCAGAGACAAGGGTACTGGTGTTGAGAAGCTGCAGTTCTTCCGGAATGGTGTGTCCAGTGTCCTGATGTTACTGACACCCTGGAGGAGTGCCAGAATAGGGACAGATCCTGTTCTCCCTGAGCCAGAACAAACCAGCCTCTGCCCCGTCTTCTCCACCCCCTCCCTACCCTCAGGCCCTAGTCACCCTAACACACCGGTAGCTGTGGTGCCCTCTGTATCCAGAAGGTTTCAGGCTGCTCCTGACGGTAATCATGAGGCTGTGAAGGAGAGTACTGAGTAACCCCTGGCCTTCAGCCCTCTCTTTTGATCTCTGGGCCTGATGCTTTCCCACAGCCTGTTAGAGCCCAGCTATACAAGAGGGGTGGGATGGGTTCTTACTTTTGTTGGGGCAGGAGGCCCTGCTTGCACCAGTTCCATTTGGTAGTCATGGTGTGTCACAGACTTGACCTCAAAGAGCTTCCTTGTGGTTTCCTGCTCTGCCTGTACCTCTTTACTATGCAGCAAGGGTGTCAAAGCCATTCTCCCCCAATTTTTCTCCCCCCCCATTCCCCTTCCCTCAGTCTCTCACCAGATCTGATGGTGCAGGAGCATCTCTAGCATGGCTTCACGCTTCCCTGTGGGAGGGCAGAGTGGGGGTCTGGTTAATAAGTAGGCCCAGAAGAAACAAATTTGAGAAAAAGAAGAAAAATCTTGTTATTGCCCTTATATCCATCAGACAATCCATAGCCCCATGGGAAATCCTTTTCTCTCCTTTTTTCTCTGACTAACGGACTCATTCTTCCCCTCTCATGTTTCACACCTCGAAGTGGCCGGTAGGGGTTTCCTGGGGGCTGATATGAGTCTTTCTGGGTGGTACTGGAGGACATGGATGACTGCAGTTGCATGGTCAGCAATCCTTGGTGTCCATGTCGGAAGAAGAAACTCTCAGAGCCATCCTGCATACTTGGGACTTGATCCAGGTGGTTGGTGGCTCTCTGTGGGTCCCAAGTTCAGTGACTATGATATCTCTTCTGATACTTACCCTTACCATAAACTACTCCCTCCCTAGGAAACAGATAAGTATTCAAGAAAAGGTAGCAGGCCAAAACTTTAATACCTCTTCCTCCCAGTTGTAGAGGAGGCACTGGCCCCGTGGCAATGTTTCACTGAAAACCTTAGGCTTCCCTTTAACCTCTGGGGGCTTCCACAGCCCTCGGGAACCAGGTTCTGAGACGTGCAAAAATTCCCAGGGTGGTTTCTGAGGCTCCCATTCACCATGGTGACTCCAGGAGGTATAATTTTGGGCCAGATCTGCTGTAAGATTTCTGAACCTTGAAGAGGTGTGGGGGCTGAACTCAGAGCCAGGACCAGAGCCACGGCCAGGACCAGAAGTGGAGCCAGGGCCAGAGCCACGGCCAGGGCCAGAACCATGGCCAGGCCCAGAGCTGGAGCCAAGGCCATAGCCAGCACCATAGCCACGGCCAGGTCTAGAGCCGGAGCCAGGGCCATAGCCACGGCCAGGCCCAGAGCCGGAGCCAGGGCCATAGCCACGGCCAGGCCCAGAGCCGGAGCCAGGGCCATAGCCACGGCCAGGCCCAGAGCCGGAGTCAGGGCCATAGCCACGGCCAGGCTCAGACCCAGGGCCATAGCCACGGCCAGGCTCAGACCCAGGGCCATAGCCACGGCCAGGCTCAGAGCCAGGG